TTCTGCTTGATAATGAAAATCGATATTCTTGTCTCATTTTTGAACAACAGCGGCTTTCAAAATGTTTTACTAAGGGCAGCCCCCTTAGTAAAACATTTTGAATATTGGTATCAAGGCCATATCTGCTATTAATTTAGTCATATTTTTTTATTAATTGTCATTATTTTTATACTCTATAAGTATTAATTTTTAATTAATTTACACTTTTAACTGTTACTTTTATAAAGGCATGATGGTTTAATTTTTTTTAAGAAATGTTTTTCTCGAATGTTTGCTTACTATGCAGATTTTTTTAATTTAAAATGAAAAATAATGTACATATTTCGTGGCGAACAGGGTCAATTTTTAAAGAGTGCGTTGCTACACTTAATTCGCTCGTGCAGCAAACTTCACACTTCTCAGAAATTGCCGCAACTGCACTGTGTTTTACGTTGCAAGGAAAAAAGTAAAAAACTGGTTTAGTATATACTCGATTTTGATTGATTATAATTATTCTTTATATCATTGATTAAGAAACTCAACGCTCAAATGCTTATATAGTTGAGGCAAACAAATCTATAGCTGGAGAACCAAACATGTTTACTATTTCTTTAAAGGCATAATCTCCCAACTCCGTTTCTTTTGACAAAGGTCTACGTGATTCCTGATCTGCTTGAGCATTATCTTTAGATTTAATATATGAAGCAAAAATAAAAATTTTGAATCGCACCAATTCCAAATTTCGGCTTGGCGTGCGCTAACCGGTAGAAATTAATTGCCAGCATGCATCAAAGCGAGGTCACGGGTGATCACGTGATAGTAAGGGATTAAAGCCTCAAATCACTTTCTTAACGTAACGACAAGTTTCACTTCCTTAAATAAGAAGCAAAAACGGATTTCAGGCCTACTCACTGTACGACCCAAATAAAAATCGTATAAATCTCTTTATATATATTACTTTTCTTGTCGAAACATAAACCAATAGAAGTTGTCGATTAACACGCGCAAATAACTCAACTTAAATTTGAATTAATTAAACAACGGTTTTTGTTGTAATTGGCCGTCGATGTGTAAATACAAAGTGTTCAGGGTGTCCCAAATTGGTTGTCCGTATATGCTATATCAGTAAATATAAATGCTAGAAAAAATTCGACCACGCATCCCCGTCGTCTTTTTTTAAAGATACATCTGATGATGTTTTTGAATTTTCTCGATTCGCATTTGTTTAGGAGATATACCTATTTTTTCAATTTTTGCCAATTTTGACAAATGCTTGTAGCTTCGTTAATATTTGAGTTACGAATACAGGTTTAAAATATTATGTAGGCACTTTTTATCACAGAATTCATTAGTGCAGACAGGTTAAGATATATGACCCTATACGGACAACCAATTTGGGGCACCCTGTACAAAGTCCTTAATTGCTTCGCAACCGTCGACTCGGTGTGGTTTAATATGAAAACAGCGACTCTGATCGGTTTTGTTAGTCTCATAAGCGTATGCACAGAGCACAGTTGCGGTTTGTTGGGCAAAATATTGCATGTATTGGTGGTTTTTATACAAATGGGACACTGCCCCAAAATATTTATTTTATGACTCATTGATAATAAGATAACAATTAAGTTACTTTATAATTATAAGATTTATTTTTATACTTAAATTTTATAAAAGATCCATAATCTAAAACACATTATACCTAATAATATAATATATATAATAAAAATTATATATATTACATTTCATGACAATATATTTTTTAATGCTTTTACCTAAGGACAGGGAAAATAATTCTTTTCAGCAATGTGCAGGAAAATAGACATTGAAATAAGTAAATGTAAAACATAGCAGTGGCGGATTCATGGAGGTTCAACCCCCCCGTAATTGAATAAATTAAAAAATGGCACTTACTTTATCTACTGGAGGCTACGTGCGCACATTTAATATATAATAAAAATAATAATAATATACAAAATATCAATATAATAACTTGTAGGTGAGTGGTCCACGTTTTTCCTTATTATATGACACCTTAGTAATTTTTTTGAAATCGGATAACATTTAGAGGTCGCCAAAACGTATATTAGAAAAATAATTAATATCAAACACTAAAATCAAAAACTATGACATAAGGAATGCTTTTGATGGGTCAGGAAACTGTTTTCGGTGATTTTTGACTAGGCAAAGAATATACTACAACTGTTCTTCATCCTTGGTCACTAAAAATTCTCATCTATGGCTAATTCTAAGGTGGTTCTTTCAAGAAATCTTTACTTTTGGATTGTTCTTTCAGTATACTTTAATTTCAGTATACTATTATATCATTTTTTTGTTTTAATGTGCTTACCGGCCAAATTGATGAAATACATAGTCTGACAAACAAAAATAACCAGCCCTGGTGGGATTCAAACCCATTTTCCTTAGTTAAATCAATGCCACGTGGACGCTTTAGGTTTTTACCATTATGTCTTTAGTTTTTGTAGACACTTTGTTGTCAAATGCAAGGATTACTAGTGCTCTAAAAAACAAGCATGCTATGATACATTTTTAGGATACCTAAGAGCTGAATATTATTATAGGGCGCCCTAATTTTAAGTGGAGCTTCATTCTAATATCTTACATAAACCAATAATAAGCTCTATTTCAAATCAAATAGAGCTTATTATTCGAAGTTCTTTGTCTCTCTAGTTGTCAAAGGAAACAGATGTCAGAAAAGCTCAGGATATAAATAATTTTTGACATCCATTAAGCATGATGCGTAGGGCCAGGAGCGATTTCATCCACCAAGAAACAGAATAGACAAGCTTAAAAATTCATTATAATCGTCTAGTGGTTGCTGTTTTTTTAGCCAGTAAATCTTTTCTCAATCGATTAAATAAATGATTCTAAAACATACCAATATTATATATATAGCTGCACTATAAGCAGTTTGATCAATATTTGGTTACGCTTTCTTAGAGAGGTTAAATGGTCCAGCATCAGTATACTATAGAGCCGAATGATCATGAGAAAGCAGCCGAAAGTATAAACTCAGTTTGGCGACCAGTATTACTTGCTGACGTATCAAATACAATGCCTTTAATTAACTATTCAACTCAACATTTCTTAGCTGCATCAACGCATGCTTAAGCCTAAGCCTTTTCTATTCCTCTATCGATTTTTGAAATACCCAAAAGTTCATGACCATTCCCGGTGATAAATATAGCGATCCAATCAAAAAAAAATTTGGAGCCATCAATATGAGATACTTACCTTCTGAGCAGTACTATAAAAAGTATTCGTAAAATTTTAAGTACGAGTAGTTAAAGTATTTACTCGTAAGTACTTTACTCGTAAGTACATTTGTAAAGAGAGGTTAAGAGTAGTAATCGTGAAAACACGAGTAAATAGTACGAGTACTTTTGAAAAAAAAAGTTAGTTAATATAATTTTACCCTCTAAAAATGGGTTAGTCAAAAATGACTAATTGTCATAGCGAAAAAGCAGCCACTAATAATTCTCGTTAATTTCCATGTAAAATTGTTGCCTGAATCCGAAAATGTCGTCAAAGTAGAACAGTTTTTGAGATAGTCCATTTTTCATATAATATGGAATTGACTATATCTCAAAAACTGCTCCACTTTCATAATCTTTGACGGTATTTTCACCAATAACTGTGGTTGTTGGTCATTTTTGACTAATTCATTTTTAGAGAGTGTACATTTTACAAACTTTGGTCTTGAGATATAAAAATACAAAAACAAATTTATAAAATTACAACAATTCTTAAATAATTTATAATTTTACCTATAGGGCCTATATATAGGCTATAATATATTATATTATACTATATATTTTATAATTTAAAACAGAAACAAAATTTTTACGAGTAATATGTAATAAGTATTTCAAATAAAAATTACTTATGAGTAAATGAACTATGTGGAGGCAAGCTTTAATAGTTTTTTTCACATGAAATTTTGGACCAAATTGTATATAAATATTTTGAAAACGCACCCAAAATATTTTTTTGGATCCGACCCTGTTTAACATAGTATTATATTGAATATGGTTCTTTTGATTTACCCAACAAATCTTAACCATTATTTCTGCATAACAATTAATCGAATTTGTGGAGGAGTCTCTCGGTCGCAGCGTTGCTTGTTTTTGTTAGTTGCAAGGAAAGACGGGAACTCTTTAAGAACATAATAATGCCGGATAAACTTCCGCATAAACTGTTGACTGTGTTCTTTGTTGGGTGAAATAATGAAATCGTAAAAAACCGTTATATTATGAGTGATTTTATGACTATGACGATGACAACTTATTTGATGACACCCTGTTGTCATCAAATAAGTTGCCATCCCTTGGGGTGATGATAGTTTACTCCAAAATAAGCAAGTTTTTCCTTTATCTCTGTTTTTCAATAAAAAAATCATTCTTGGACATTTGTGTCGTGGCCACTGTTTTCTATCGTAATTCGAAGTACGGTGGACCAGGTAAAATCATCGTCATTTATCCCGTTGGGATACCTACCTAACAAGTTGTAATTAATACTTTTTTATTAAAAGTTTCTTCAAATTGTTGAGAGTGCAAAATAACAAGCAATTATCAACAAAAGTAATCAATGATAAAAAAGTACTAAACGATTTTGTATAGGTTTAAAATTTACTTGAAATTAAATAATTTTGAATAAATGTCGATGATACAAAAAACTTGTTTACTTTGGCCTAAACTATCCCCCCAAGGGATGACAACGTATTTAATGACACCCTGTATATAAAATATTAATGGGTAAAATCCTCTCACGGAGACGAATATGTTATTCTAAAAATGTTTGGGAATTTGGCACAGGTCACAGAAAATTGTATTTTTTTACAAAAGTATAAAATGTAATTGTCCTTTAACAAAATTAATTTAAAACGTTATTAAAAAAATATTCTTTGCGATTTTACATATTAATAGTAGTAGTAGTTTTGTAAACAGCAAAATAAATAAATATAATTTTTAAACAAACTTTTACCCGTCACCCAACTACTTAGAATTAAAAAAACGACTAGACGACTAGATACATGTAATGGAATGCGCTTACAGCTTACGCGTCTTTTACGTTTCAGGATATCGACTACGAAGGATTTTCGGATTTCTTGGACACTTTTCTGGAGGTGCGGACGCCCGAGGAGCTTTGCCGTCACCTTTTCCTGTCGTTCGTCAGGAAGCCGATCGAGAAAAATCCCGGAGCCTCGTCAGCTCATCATTCCAATAATAAGGGTAAAAGTAAACTTTAAATAATCTATATATCAAAATAGTTTGTTGTCTTTTTACGCTCCTCAGGTTGTGAACTCTTAAAAAAGTTTAAAAATATTTAAGCTTGTCTAATATTTTAAGTTGGGCACCAATATGTAACAGGACCGGTCAGGTTGGATTGCAGAAGGTTTTTTGAAGGGAATTCAATTTATTTACTAGAACAGCTGAACGCCGCAATTAGCACAAATACAATTTTGAAAATCAATAGTTACATACCTGAGGCAGGCCACGTTAAATAGTTTTATATAAATTAATTAGAATAATAAAACAGCAGTCAACTGTTTAAGTAAAAGCGTAAAAGAATTTCCAAATGTTTTTTTACAAAGAAGGCGCAAAACTAAAAACCGGTAGCATACCACGATAACACATTACAGTTACTCTCTAGTCGAAATAAAATAAAACGTTCCTCTTCAGTTTTAAGGGTGATTTCGAAAGAAAACAAGTTTTTGTAAAAAATACAATTAGTTTATTAAGTTTGAGTTTGTTGATTTAAAGGTAAATACTCTCTAAAAATGAATTAATCAAATATGACTAATTTAATAGTTATTGGTGGCTGCTTTTTCACTTGTACCATGGTTAACCATGGAATACCATGGTATCCCAAAATTTAACAGTAAATTATTATGTAAAATTGTCTCCTGAATCCGAAAATACCGTCAAAAAAATTATGAAAAAAAAAGATAGTCAATTCCATATTAAATGGAAAATTGACTATATCTCAAAAACTTTTCTACTTTTTTAACTTTTTACGACATTTTCGGATTCAGGGGACAATTTTACAAAAGAATTGGCTGTTAAATTTTTGGATACCATGGTATTCCATGGATAACCATGGTACAAGTGAAAAAGCAGCCACTATTAACTATTAAATTAGTAATTTTTAACTAATTCATTTTTATTATACGGGGTGTTTCAAAACATGTGTCGGAAAATGAAGGATGTGATTCCTTGACTAATTCCAGGAAAAAAATGTCCTGCAATACGATACGAAACACTCCTGGCATTTTTGAACGGGTACGTCAGTCACTAAGGTTGGCATTTTCAATAATTGTAATTTTTCTTGTTTTGATGTTATGTTCTTAGACTAAGAATCTTAGTTATGTAAAATAAAACTTTTGCGGTTGCTACTTTTTTTTCATCATAAAATGCCGCTTTTCTTTAAAATGGTTCACGCTAGAGCTAGTACCTTTTTTGTGTAAAAAATACTTGCAGTTTAAAAAGTGCTTTCAAAATACCAATATCAACATTTTTAAAGAAATTAGGGTCAAAAAAAGCTCACACAACCCTTAGATCTCCGCCACTGACATATAAAAAAATTGAATTGGGACTAAAAAAGTAGCTAATATTATTGATAAGATGTATACAAAAGCTTAGTTTTATATCTCAAAAGTTTTCTGAGATATTGTTAAAAAACAATTTTTCGACCTGTATCTCGAAAACGGTGCGTTTGCGGGCACATGTTAATAGGACATTTTATTCCTGGAATTAGTCAAGGAATCCCATTTTCCGACACATGTTATGAAACACCCTGTATATAATATCAAAAATTTAAGTTGTCCGTTAATTTTTTGGAGCAGTGTATATATTATATACACTGAAGTTGCATTACATTATAAATATTTTTAGGGTAAATTAACGAAAAAAGTCCAATTACATTTTCTGATATTTACTTAGAATTTTTGTTATCAAAACTTTGAGATGGATCGATCCTTTTAAAATTCAACATTAAAATGTTTTAAGGTATAAAAGTATTTAACATTTTAAATATCAAGAGCAGTATTAATTTCAGTTATTTAGTTTTGCCGTAATTTTAGTTTTGTTTTATTTCAACCCCCGGTTAATCCACACGCAGTTATTTGAGTTTGTAATTTAATGCAAATGAACGAACCAAAAACTATTCACTCGGAACTTTAATTAACAAATCAAAAGCGTTACTGTTAATTTTAAACGTGTTTATCTTTCCAACCAGAAATACAATACAATATAAGCAAACCAATATCGATCCTGAAAGTTGTTTTAAGGCCATCTTTTTATCAAAATAATAATATTTTTGCAACATGTTTTAAGTAGCAAAATCGCGTCATCCATCTCGTCCATCTTTATTGATGCAATCTTAAACTCTGGTCACTCCAGACCTTAGTATGTTAGATCTTTTTTGGTGTTATTTAAGGAAAAGATTACATTGATAGGTTGAAAAGTTATAAGTCAACTTTATATACTTACTTTTAATAGTTTGTTTTTATAATATTCATTAAAATTAAATTATACGTAAAATATATTGATAAAGGCTAAAAAACATTTTAGTACTTTATAAATTACATAACATATTAATAACTAACTAACTTTTAAGTTTTAATGCAGCATATGACTTTAATGGCCAATTTAAAATTTAGTAATTGTTGCAGTAGCTTATTACGAGCTTTAGAACGAACATTAAATTTGCTTTATTAAATGGATTTTTTTCCTCCTATTACGGAATATGACCATTCTAATATTACTTTTTAATTTGAAATTACATATATTCCTTAAAGTGTTACAGAATAAATTATGCTATTATTGGATGACGGAATAAACACTGGTGGCGACATCTGTGTTAATATCTAATAACATTTGGACCGATCCAACCTCACTTTCTCCCAATTAAATTATTTTTCTAGGGTATTTTTTGGATACGTAGAAAAAACTATAGTCTGAAACAGATTTGGAATTGCATATTCGGCTCTCCAGAAAACGTCAAACTCGCCTGTGGCTTGTGTGACAAACTTTTCATTTGAGCGGAATATGCCGTAATCCAAACTTGTTACAGAATATTCTATTATAGCTAAAATACAAGTTTAAATTATTGTAATGTAAAATTGTCAATAATGGCGAATGCGCCGGGATTAATTAACACATTTTTTTCCCTCGCATGAAAAATTCCTATAGATTTTGAAAATAGACTTAAAAAATTGATACCCATCTCTCGGCGTTTTTTCAGATCACGTCATTTATTTTATATTATATTTAAGTGGGATTCAATAAAATGTTATCCATGGATAACATTGTGCACGGTATTCGGCACATATAACAGCTTCGATAACAGCTATTTATATTTTTAAGAAAAATGTATTCACTGAATAAATGGACAACCATTAAAATTATTTATTTATATTAAAATTATTTTAATTTTATACAGGGTGTTGTATATTTACGAAATACGGATGATTTGCGTTCGTGGTCCATTAAAAGTTTCTGAGGAACGGCTAAAGATATCGAATTGAAATTTTTAAAACGTTTATTATTAAATTAACACGTTCATGGACAGGACTGCAAATGCCGTCGGGCCCAATATAACACGACGGCTATAGCAGTCACAATTTTCTAGCTGATTTATGACAAGCCTGCATATGCAGGTGCATTAATAATGAGATCCATAGGAAGCTCTGACATATGTGTCCCATGAGACCCCATGTATTTTTGGTTGCAGAATGTTGTTGGTTGCAAATTAATTTTTATCTGTTAAGCGCGATTCTTAACCTAAAATTCGACCGTTTTTGAGACCGATTCTTGTTAGGTAGAGTAAAAATTTGATTATTGTAAGGTGAAGTAAAATTTTGATGTAACAAAGCTAGTAAGTATAAGTTTTTGAACAATTATATTATTTTTTATCACTATATAACTTCTATAACTATATTTTTATCGTTAAAATGTTTTTTCTCATCCTAAAAACGCAAATTCTTTTTATAAAATAAATTTTATATTATTTATAGGTATTTTATAACTTATAAATTATAAATTATAAGTATTTATAGATATTTATAGGTATATACCGTACCGTTGAGATTAAAAAATAAATATTTAAATTTGAATCTAGACTTTTTGTCATTATTAAAGTATAATTTGTCCACCAGTGACTTTATACTACCATAATGGATAAGTAGAAATGAAAAAAACATGGACGGTTATGACCGTCATGACCCACCACACCTTTTTTTTGGAAAAAAATCTCATAGTGGGGCATGACGGCTATAGCCGTCAAACTTTTTTAAAGGCCATACACAGCCGGTAAAATTTTTTGATGATAGGATAAAAGGTGTATGAATTATTCAAGTGACGCAGCAGGTCCCGCCAAAAATTTGTCTGTGTCCATCAACGTGTTAAGCCTATTTTTCCAAAATACAAACAACACAATGTCAGTTTGACCGGAAGTGATATCATCTTTGTTATTTTAAATAGAACACCCCATATATTTTTACATTCTTAAATTCTACATAAAATTTTGAGTAAAATTACCATACCATGTCCTATACCTAAAGTAAATAGTTTTCGAGTTATTAATTTTTTTCGTTAAAATTTGACAAATGCGCTTCAATCAAAAAAGGCCTATAACTTTTTTGCTTAGGTTTTGCTTTAGGCACGGTGTGCCTGAACGAAGTTTAAGTCACATAAAAATGCCGCCAAAAACTGATTGCAGTTTCTTGTTCGGGACCCTTTGGTGACTTAAAAATGATATTTACCAAAATCCTAGCTGCTCCTCTTTTCGAATTTTTTTTTAAATTCATGTTTTTTTGAAATTTTGTTTATTTCAAAGTCTACCTTTAACAGAGTACACATTGGTACACCGATTTTTATAAAATTAGAGTATATTATTGGGGAGACTTAGAGAATACTTTTTAATACTGTTTACATCATTTGATATATACAGGGTAAGCCAAAATTCGCTTATTTTTAATAAAGATTTTGTCATAACATGCAAAAAAGATTTATCTCCATTTTTTTTTTTTTGATATTTCTACGTTTATCAGGTTACAAAAAATAGATTTTTAATAAAAATAAATAAAATAACGCTTAGAGAATATTTAAAATGTTGTTTAATTTAGGCTTTTTAGTAGTTTTCAATTTTGAACGAAAAACTGGTTGAAGTTTTTTGATTCGCACTCTTTCGAGATTTAAAAACTATATTTACCAAAATTCTAACTGCTTTT